TTAGTTTCTGTAAAGAAGTTAACTGAGATTCTGATAGGGATTGCATTGCATCTATAGGTCAGTTTAGGAGTATTACCATCTTAATAATGTTAAATTTTTTGACCCATGAACATGAGATGTTTTCCCATTTATTTAGATCTTCTTTAATTTATTTCAACAATGTTGTGTGGTGTCTAGAGTATAAGTTTTACACTTATTTTGTCAAATTTATTCCTAAGTATTTTTTTGAAGCTACTATGAATGAAATTGTTAATTTCATATTTTGGATTGTTCATTGCTGATTTATACAAATAAAACTGATTTTTGTGTTGTTTGATACCCTGTACCTTTGCTGAAGTCATTTTTAGTTCTAATAGTTTTAGGTGAATTTCTTAGGATTTCCTATGTAAAAGATCATGTGATCTACAAATAGAGATGATTTCTGCTGTTATAGTCTGGATGCCTTGTTTTTTGGTTTTTGGTTTTTGGGGGGCGGAAGTTTGTTGTTGTTGTTATTTTGCCTAATTTTCCTGACAAGAGTCTAGTAAAATGTTGAGTATAACTTTTAAGAGTGCACGTCATTGTTTTGTTCCTTGTTCCTTTTCATAGAACTTCTTTTAATGTCTTCTGTAAGGCAACACATTGTTACTAGCAGCAAACTCCATTTTTGTTTAACTGGTAAAGCCTTCATCTTCCATGTATTTCTGAAAGATAGCTTTGCTGGATATTGGATTCTGGGTTGGCAGTTTCTTTCTTTGAATACTTGGAATAGTTATCTCATAATAACTGCTGAGAGGTCAGTTATTAACCTTAATGCAGTTCCTTTATAAGTGACGTTGTTTTTTTTCCTTGTTACTTTCGAGATTTTTCTGTTGCTTTTGACTTTTACCATTTTTAGTATGATGTGTCTGTTTGTAGATCTTTTTGTGTTTATTCTGTTTGGCGTTTGAAGAGCTTCCTGGATGTGTAAGTTATTGCTTTTCAGCTTCCTGGATATGTAAGTTACTGCTTTTCAAAAATTTAGGACATTTTCTGCAATTTCTTTGAGTATTTCTTCTCTTTTCTTGCTGTTCTTTTCTTTTGGTAGTTCTCTTACTATATGTTTGAGCACTTGTTGGTGTTCTGCATTTCTCTGAGGTTCTGTTCATTTTTCTTCATTCTTTTTTCTTTGACATTTTTCAGCTTTCATAACCTCAGTTGCTCGTTTCACATTTGCTCTTTTTTTTTTAAAGATTTTTTTTATTTATTAGAGAGAATGAGAGAGAGAGAGAGAGAGCGAGAGCACATGAGAAGGGGGAGGGTCAGAGGGAGAAGCAGACTCCCTGCCAAGCAGGGATCCAGGGAGTCCAGGATCATGACCTGAACTAAAGGCAGTCGCTTAACCAACTGAGCCACCGGGTGCCCCGCATTTGCTCTTTTATTTTTTTCCTGCCAGTTCAGATCTACTCTTGAGCCTCTCTAGTGAATTTTTATTTCTGTTATTATACTTTTTAACCCCAAATTTTCCCTTTGGTTCTTTTTTGTAATTTCTTTTGCATTATTAATATTCTCTGTTTGATGCAACTTTGTTGTCATACCCTCTTTTACTTTTCTATAATCATGCTTTCCTATACTTCTGTGAACATGTTTATAACGGCTACTTTCAAGTCTTTTGTTGTTGTTAAATCTGACATATGATTGCTCTCATAGGGAATTTCTGTTGCCTGCTTTTTTCCCAAGTGTATGGGTCATATTTTCCTGTTTCTTTGTACATCTCCTTGTAGTTTGTTGGAACTGAACATTCTAGATGTTTATATTGATAATTTAATTTATTTTACTTAATTATTTTTTTAAAAAGTAGATTCCTTGCCCAACATGGGGCTTGAATTTAGCCTGAGGTTGACAGTCACATGTACTACCAAACTAAGCCAGCCAACCACCCCTGATATTTTAGATATTAGACATTATATATTGTAGATGTAGACATTATATATTGTAGGTAGACACTGGTCTTGTACCTTCTCAATCTGTAATTTTTTGTTGTTGTTATTTACTTTATTAAATGTTGTTTAGTAACTAGGTCACTTATTTTAGTGAAGTAATCTTCTGATGCTATTGATCAGGGAATCACAGCTCTCGGTATGCCCACAGTTGTTCTGAGAAGACAGCGATTCTCTCCTGCTCTTTCTCTGACCACATCCAACTGTCAAACTACATTAACTGCTCTATTGTTTTCAAAAGTGTCTTGGAGTCTTAAGTTGCTTTACAAACTAGTTTAAATTGTAGCTTCTTTGAAGGAATAGTTTCAGAGGTGTATTTGTTCCGACCACAGGAGGGTTCCTCCCAGCTTCATTATACCTCAGTTCTCTCCTGCAAGCTATCTGGCCTATTGTCTTGAATGTTGGTTGTTGTTGTTGTTGTTTTTTTTTTAAGATTTTATTTATTTGAGAGAGAGAGCAGAATGAGAGGACATGAGCAGGGGTGAAGGGCAGAGGGAGAGGGACAAGTAGACTCCCCTCTCAGCAGGGAGCCCTACTCGGGGCTCAATTCCAGGGCCCTGAGATCATGATCTGAGTGAAAGGCAGATGCTTAACCAACTGAGCCACCCAGGTGCCCCGAATGTTTTTTTCTTAAATCCATAAATTTTCTTCCAGTTGCCGCATCCTCAGCTATTCTTGAGAGCTTGAACTTCTCCATGTGGTATTACAAATGAAGTCAGTTCCTTTGGGAAGAGATTACAGACTACCTGTTTTATTATCTATTTCTACTCTCAGGCAGCTCTGGAGCTCTTCTCTGAATGACACTGCTGCTCTAGAAGCTTGAGCATTCAGTGAAGGCAAGGGTGGGAGTGTGGGCAGCAACCTGATATCCTCTTGGCTTGCTTCTCTAGAGCCACCACCTCACAAGCCAGGGCAGTGGTGATTAGGATTCCAGTTTTTCAGTAGAGTTGTGCCCAAAGTATAGCCTTTGTTCCATAAGTTGGGGGCTTGGCCAAAGAAGGCAATGCTCACTTCTTGACATCACTTGCCTGGGGCTTAGCAGTACCTACCTGGGGGCAGGATGAGGTAAACTGAAGTCTTGGGGCTCCTCAGAAGAAAACCCTCCAACAAGGAGCTCAATAAGAGGAAACCTTGTGTTCTTGACTACAGCAGTCTGGAGAGGAGTCTGCTTTACTCGTATTGGGTAGGGACGGACAGGTCTTAGTTTAAATACCACAGATCTCTCCTTTCTTTCTTTCTTTCTTTTTTTTTTTTAAAGATTTTATTTATTTGACAGTCAGAGATCATAAGTAGGCAGAGAGGCAGGCAGAGAGAGAGGAAGGAAGCAGGCTCCCTGCTGAGCAGAGAGCCTGATGAGGGACTCCATCCCAGGACCCTGGGATCATGACCTGAGCCAAAGGCAAAGGCTTAACCCACTGAGCCACCCAGGCGCCCAGATCTCTCCTTTCTTACTGAATTTTTCTGCATATTCTTGAATAAATTTTTTCTCATTTGTCCTTGGGACTATTTCCTGAGCTTCTCATTGGTATCGTTTTACTAGTTCCATTGGGTTAGCAGATTAGCAGAGCTCCTCATGCTCTCTTGTCAGAAATTGATCTTTGAATGGTTTTTGTTTTTAATTGAGATATAATTGGCATATAACACTGTATTAGTTTTCGGTGTATAACATAATGATTTGATTGATATATATATGTATTATTAAATAATCACCCCAACAAGTTTAGTTAACATTTATCACTGCACAGTAACAAATTTTTTTTTTCTGATGATGGGAACTTTAAAGAGGAATGGTTTTAAATACATTGTAATTATCTTTTTTTTATAGGGCTGTGGAATTGTTCTGTGAAACTATCTGGGCCTGCTATTTATTGGTGCAGGGGGAGGAGTTCCTTAAAATTTATTTTAAAGAAATTTGTTTATTTAGGTCCCTGTCTTTTCTGAAGTCCGTTTTGATAACTAATATTTTTCTAAATAATTATCTATTTGATCTAAATTTTCAACCTATTTGCATAGGACTGAGCAAAGTAATCTCTTATGATTCCATTAAGTTTTTTCTGACTGTGGTTATTGGCGGGGGGTGGATGTACTTCTTTTTATATGTCTTAAGGATTATTATAATCCACTAATGAGGTAATACTGGAAAAAAATTTTTTCCCTACAACTTGTCTGGTTATGATTTATTATAATCAGGGTTTCTTTATTTCTACAATAATAGTGCTTTATTGAATTCTTGCTGTGTATTAGGCACTTTACAATTTTGATTTATTTAATCTTTATAACAATCCAAGAATGTATATACTGATAGTATCTTTATTTTATGGATGAGAAAATTGAGCTATAGAGAAAATAATTTGCTCAGTTATGCCTAGGTGATGATCATAGTTTTAACTTCTTAGTTGGCCTACAGAAATTTAAAATTATTTAAGGTTGTTAAATAAAAAGATGTATTTACTTCCTAATGTCTCAACCTAAATCACTATCCAAAAAGTATAATTTTTAGTTGTCTATGACAATATACTCCATCCCATGGATTTTTTCAATGAAGTTAGTGGGGTGAAAAGGGTTACCAAATTTTCCTTCCTCAGTTAACAATTAGTACTTAAATTTGTAGTTAGCATGAGGGATTTGTTTTATTTTTTATTTTACTTTTTTTGAGAGCTTTCTTTTAAATGGATATTTTATATTTGGAGAGTCAGTGTAACAGTTAAAACATTTAAATAAAAATTTTTAAAAACGTAAGAAAAATCCACATCATTACACTAATTTGGTTTGAAAGCTCTTATTTGACATGATCATATACAAAAAATTTTTTAAAGAAATTATTAATAGTTTCTGTAATATCTTAATTATATTCTTGAATGAGAGAAGTTAGGAAAGATAGGAATTTAAGGAATAAAAATTGAGAGTGTCATCATTTAAAAAAAAAACTTCCTGTTTAGGCAAGACTGAGTAAATATGTGTAACTACTGCCCTCTTGGGTTGGTATAAGGAACATGTTTTTCAAAATAATCTGTGTTGAGATTTCTCTTTCTTCTTTTAAAGGTGTTAAAATCATCACACAACAAGTTCAACCAAGTAAAATCTTACCCAAACCAGTGACAGCAACTCTGCCCACCAGTAGCAATTCCCCTATTATGGTGGTTAGCAGTAATGGTGCAATTATGACAACTAAACTGGTAACCACTCCTACTGGTAAGTTTTCTTGAGCGTCAGTCCATTCATTCATCATTTATTTATTGAGTAGTTTCTTTGTATCAACACAGTGCTTGACACTGGGAATGTAGGGATTAATGACAGTTCTTTAAGAGGCTTTCTCTCCAACTAAAATTAGCTTTCTTTTATTATTGTCATGGTCTTCTGTTTTTTTTACTTTATAGGTATTATCTTAATCATCTTCATCTTCTCATTTCTTTGATTATTTGTTGATTTACTGTAGTTCACCTTGTTAGACCATAAGCTCCATGATAAGGGGCAGTCTTTGTTTTATTCACCATATATATGTTGAGCTGGTCTGAAAGTAGGTGTTTAGTCAGGATTTGTTGAGGGACCGAAAACATACTCTCTCAGCCCAGAAGGATTGTACTCTTAGGAGGTTGAAGGTCTATATTACATTGTGGTGTAGTAAGCATTACTCTGACTGAGAGAAGCACAGGATGCCTTTTTGCCCAGATATGAGAGCACCCAGGCTATGTCCAAGGAAGTGACAGTGTAGAACATTTTTTTTTTTTTTTAAGATTTTATTTATTTGACAGAGAGAGAGAGAGATCACAAGTAGGCAGATAAGCAGGCAGAGAGAGGGGAGGAAGCAGGCTCCCTGTGGAGCAGAGAGCCCGACGTGGGGCTCGATCCCAGGACTCTGGGATCATGACCTGAGCCGAAGGCAGGGGATTTAACCCACTGAGCCACCCAGGCGCCCCCAGTGTAGAACATTTTAAATAGTACCACCCTTTGTATCCTTGAGCAGTTTACTAATCCCTCTAAGTCTTTTCTCTTGTCTATTAAATGGGATAACAATACCTGTACCATAAGGTTATTGTAAGTATTAGAGGAAATCAGGTATGTAAAGTCCCCAGCAGAGTAATAGCTGTTATTATTAATTAACGTAAGAATTAGCTATTACTATTATTTTAAATTTGTATAACTCTTACCAGATTTTTTGAGAAGGGTCAGTACATAGATGATAGAATCTAAATAATGTAAAATGATACCCATCTCAAGTTTATAAAGCAATCATTTATTGGCCAGGATGTAAAGGTCTATGTAGACATTACACTTAATCTCCCTTAGGCTGATATCTCCACTTTTAGCGGCAAAACAGAGACTGATGTTAAAGCAACTTGCCCAAAGTCATGCAGCCAATAAAAGGAAGATCTGGGATTTGAACCCCAATCTGTTTGACTCCCTTTTTTTCTTTTAAATTGTGACAAAAATAGAACATGAAATTTACCATTTTAAGGGTATAGTTCATTGACATTCAGTGTCGTTCATATTATTTTTATACCTATCGATCACCATCAGGCTTCAGAACCTTTTCATCTTCCCAAACTGAAGCTCTACACATTGAACAGTAACTTTCCATTACCACCTTCCCCTAGTCTCTGCCAGCCAGCATTCTGCTTGCTGTCTCTGCAAAGCCTGTGCTTAAAAACATGGTATTCTTGCATTAAATTTATCATACTCACCCTCCTCGCCCCCTGCCCCAAACTTTTTTCCATTTGGTACAAAGATAATAGTGTTATCTATATATGATTCTTTACCTTAGGGAAAGGTAGTAAAAATAATAATGTGTCTGTGCCTTTGTATCTATGTTAGAAATGGTGTTTCTATTTTTAAAACAAAAGCTTAAGTGGAAAATGTTTTGTTAAAATTCAGCTGATTCACATTATGTTTGTAGCATATTTACTTTGCACTAGATTTTTTTGAGGGGGATTCAGATGTTTGTAACCAGTTTAAATTAATTCTACTTAATGTTCTTCTTTGTTTGAGTTGTGATTGTATTAAAAATTTTTTAAATATCTTGCTAAAAAGCATTTTTGCAGGATAACCATTGAAAACGGTTATCACGATGACCATGAGAAAGCATGAAAAAATGCTTTCCTGTCAAAGAAGGTATTATCTTAATCATCTTCATTCTTCCCCAGACTAATAGTTCTTAGTGCAAGAATAGTATTTCTGAGTTACTGGACTTGTAGGAAACTATGACAGGCTCATCTGATTAGTTTTTAATTCCTGTTTGGGAAAAGAAAGAAGTCCTTAGGATAGTGGGGAAAAATATTCTAACAGGTCAGTTAGAGTTGAGGAAATATGTAAATAGTGAACTTTTTTGGCTAGAAGAAATATTTCTGGCAACTCTTGGCAGCTTCAACTTTAATCTCTAGTAAAATGATGGAATAATTCTTTTAAAGATGGAAATATATTTAGAGAGTAGCAGAGTACAAAATAGTAAAAGTTTATAAAATTTTAAGCAAACAATACTGCCTTATTTGCTGAGTGCTGACATTGGGTTTGGCACTGAGACAGCATAAAACAGATGCAGAGACCTTAAAATCTATAACAGAAATATCTAAAATGCTCTGGCAGGGAAGATGATTAAATTTAAGTTTCTTTTGGCATAGAACTAGTGGAAGAAGGGTAGTGGAAGAAAGGAACATAGTTACTTGTACTTTTTCTTGAGCTTAGTAATTTGATGCAACACATCACAAAATTTTATGTGTAAAATTAATTCAAATTGACTTGGCCTTAGTTCTTGCTATGTGCATTGAAAACTGGCTATAAATTGTCACTTAATGTCTTGACACCTTGAAATTCCATTTTCAAGTTAAAGCAATGTAGATTACATTGAATTATAGCTGAACTGTATAAATTGTCATTCTTCTATAAGTAATGACAAGTTTTTCTTCGGCTTTTCCCTTTTTATAGGCACACAGGCAACCTATACCCGGCCAACAGTGAGCCCGTCCATAGGTCGGATGGCTGCAACCCCTGGAGCTGCAACTTACGTGAAAACTACCAGTGGTAGCATCATTACAGTTGTACCCAAGTCATTAGCCACCTTGGGGGGCAAGATAATTAGCAGTAATATAGTTTCTGGTAGGTATATCTGAAATATGTTAAAGCTATAGGTAACTTGTAAGAGGAAAAAGCTTTTCACTGTTGAAGGATTCTTTTTGATCTGTTTTCTGCTTATGATTCTGGAGCTTTATTTTTAGTCCTGATGTTTAATGATTTTAAGTCTAGTTTTTTATTTCTAGTATTAAGTTTTCACACATTAAGTTTTTTATTTTAAAATAGAACATTTAGTAGTTTTTCATCAGAATGGAAATACTGTGATTTACATCTGTATGGCGATTTTTCATTTACTAAGTATTCTCCCATTTGTCAGTCCTTTCAGAGCTGATAAATTCAAATAGTTGGCATCACCCCCAGTTGACAGGTACAGACAGATGCAAGTTTAGAGAGATGAGATTGACCTATCGAAGACCACACACGCTAGAGAGAGGAAGACCCTTTTTTATAGAATAATCTTATTTTCCTATTCTTTTAATTGTATCTTGAGAACTCTGCCCCCACTTAATGGATATTCATCTAAATATGTTTGAAGGACTATATCTCATAATTGCATTACTAATGTCACTTTAGCTTATTAAAAATAAAAATATTTGAATATCTTTTTATTTTCTTTTCACCATTATATTGATTGTTTACTTTTAAGAAATATCACTCAGATAGTGAAAGCTAATACTTATTGGTATTCTGGGACTTTACCTGATTTTTATCAGCTCATTAATTCCTGCAGTATTGGACCATGGACTCTGAAGTGGAATGTTAACATAGCATCTATTTTCTTTGTTAGTTTTTAATTAAAATTATGTAAATAATCTCTCATCAAGCAAGCCCTGTGGACTTTAACTGTCTACCATTTTTGTGGACTAGCCGTATTTTTTATGCCCCTGGTGAGTTGTTCTGTGAAGGGATTGAAGTACCTGCTAATGTATGATGTTGCTGATAACTCAGGAACTGAAAGAAAAAAAAAACAACAAAGCAGAGCATGATATTGGCATAAAGCACAGTATTTAAAGCTGCAAATATTGGCTCTATTTTTAAGTGTAAGTGAGAAAATCTGATGTTTGCCAAACTGAGGAGGGTGAAACCAGTAGGGAAAGAATCATCATACTCCAGCTTTAAGAGGATTTTTTAAAATAACACAGTGAAAACTCAAATTATGATTTATTAACTGACAGTATCTTAATGGTATAGAGCACATTCTAAAACATTTTTCAAAAAGTGATCATTCTTCATTTGTATGTAGCTTTTTATCACTATAATGGTTTTTCTTTACTTACATATGAATTCATAATAACCTTACAGCTTGAAGGAATGTCTAGATGTCATGAGGCCACTGTTGTCAGATCTTCTTCATGATTTAGCTGCTTTGTACCAGGTTAGAGCGATACAGTAAGCAAGCATATTTTCCTGGAAGCCAGAGATCTGTATCCTATACATGTAAACATTTTATCCACCTTTGTATGTAAATATAAAACAACTCATGGTTAGCTGCTATTTCAAGTACATTGGGTATACATGAGAAGAGTTCTTAAACTTTTCTAGCAATAGGATGTACTTGGCACAAAGTTGAAACAGTGCTATTCGTTGTGTGGAGCTCGTTTTGTGTCTACTTCCACCTCACTGACACTTTTATTTTAAGGTATCTCTCATTTCTGACTGCTCTAAACTGATCCTTATTGCATATCAATATTCCTTATAAAGACAGTTCTCTTATTTTGTAATGTTTTTGTTACTTCGTGATAGTGGGATTACAGTTTAGTTTATTAGCAGTTTTCAGACCCTGGTTATCTATTCACATAGAACTGGTAAGCCTAGTTGGATGAATTTGGGTAATCCATAATTAGATGCTGGATTCTAGAGTTTGTGCCTACCCTGCTTCCTTATCCCCAAACAAAAATGAAACGCTTTTCTTAAAAGACACCCAGACATCTGGGGTGCCTGGGTGGCTCAATCGGTTAAGCAGCTGCCTTTGGCTCAGGTCATAATCTTAGGGTCCTGGGATCAAGCCCCACATTGGGCTCCCAGCTCAGTGGGGAGTCTGCTTCTCCCTCTCTCCCCCCTGCTCATGCTCTCTCTCTTACTGTCTCTCTCAAATAAATAAATAAAATCTTCAAAAAATTAAAAAAAAAAAAAGATACCCAGACAGCTAGCTGTAAGAATAGAAGGCTTTAAAAAGGAAAATGATACTTTCCCCCTTATCATGGGTAATTTGGAAAATACAGAAAGATACAATGAAAATTAAAAACATATGATTTTTACCATCCAGAGAACTATGGTAAATTCAAGTGTATATATTTCTGTTGATTCCTTTTTCTGTTCATTTTTTTTGGTTATAAGTGAATGTATGTGTATTTTTAAAATTACATTGAAATCTATTATAATCAGCTTTTACCCTTTTTTCATAGAATAATCTTATTTTCCTATTCTTTTAAATGTATCTTGAGAACTCCTCTGCCCCCACTTAATGGCTACACAATGTTTCCTTATATGATGCACCATAGTTTAGCCATTTTCTCATTATTGAATGTTTTAGGTTGCTTCCAAGTTTTTTGGTTATTATAAATAAATTACGTGATGTTCTTACTTCCTTTTCTCTAGAAAGCAAGGTCATGCTTCCAAAGTGCTTTCTAGAAAGGTCAGATTTTTCCTTTCATTAGAATAAACAACTAAATGGAAGGCATGACTATTTTTGTAGTTATTTAACTCCTCAGAATCAGATATTTACTTCTATGTATATATGAAGAGAGGCCTATCAGATATGTGAGTTTTTTGGTGAACTTTGTTGAGGGTTGGTTAAGGAACCATGGCTATTTTATGCAGAAGATTGTTGCATCCTTCAGAGATGAACTCATCGTCACTCGAAGGACATTATGAAAACCTGTGACATTGGCAAGACTTGATTTCGATTTTCTTGATCCTTAGTACAATGTTCAGGCAAGGGCCTAGTGTTTATCTGTCTTTCCATTTGTTCGTTCATTTGTTCATTCTTTGAGCAAAGCAACATAAAACATTACCCAAGAGACCAGATTGTTAGAGTGATGTAAAAAATCTCTGAATAGTAAAATCTGGGCCAATAAATTAGTTTCTTTAAACCATCCTCCCATAATGCTCACATTTTTACAGGAATCTTATTTTTAAATAGAAATCCCTGGAATGCATCCAATATCATAGGCTATGATCGAAATGTGAGTTATAGTTAATTTGCACAGTAGGTGCAATTGATAACTAAAGACCATATATATAGTGGGTCCTCTTGATATTCTATGAGCCAGATCTTTGGCTGGGTGCTGTGATACATAGGGATGTACATGGATGCATTCTCTGCCCTAAAGAATGCTAAACAAATGAACTTTTATAAGCTCTGTTGTAGCATGAGAACTGTAGACTGACTACAGTGAAAGTGTAGAGGAAGACCTTTATTTTAATTTTTTTAGATTCACTTATTTTAGAGAGAGTGGTTGCCTGTACTAGTGGGCAGAGGAGCAGAAGGAGAGGGAGGGAGAGAGAATCTCCAGCAGACTCCCCATAGAGTGCAGAGCCCAATGAGGCAGGGCTCAAGTGGGGGCTTGATCTCACCACTCTGAGATCATGATCTAACCAAAACCAATAGTCTGATGCTCTGAAACCAAGCAGTAGTCTAATGCTCAAATGACTGAGCCACCTAGGCACCCCTAGAGGAAGATCTTTTTAAAAAAAAATGAGTAACACTTGTTTCATCCATACAACATAGTTATCAGCTGAAAGAAACATGCTCACTGGAATTTCACACTTTAATAACTTGATAATTCTAGTCATAAACTATTCTGTTTTAATATGACACCCTTACTTTTCCTTATGTTATGCCTTTTCCTTCTGTGTTTTACCTTCTCCCCCCACCCTTCATTTTGTTAAGCTGGTGAACTTAATTTGCAACTGTTCAATAAATTGACAAATCCTTGTAATGGAAAGTTTTAGACAGTGACTTAATACAAATATAAGGCACTTGTTTAGCAAGCTTTTTTAAAAAATGGTCCTTGTACTTTGGTGAAAGCTTAGTTTACATTTCCTTGAGATAATTTTTAATGCTTACTTTCTTTCTTTCTTTTTTTTTTTTTTAAAGATTTTATTTATTTATTTGACAGAGAGAGATAGACGGAGAGGCAGGCAGAGAGAGAGAGAGGGGAGGAAGCAGGCCTCTTGCTGAGCAGAGAGCCCGATGCGGGACTCGATCCCAGGACCCTGAGATCATGACCTGAGCCGAAGGCAGCGGCTTTAACCCACTGAGCCACCCAGGCACCCTAATGCTTACTTTCTAAAAACATTTTTATTAACCAAATATTTCGTGAGGCTGTATTGTTGAAGGAGTCATAGTAATCAGTCATGTATGAGGGATTGAAGTTAATTAAGAGTTGAAGTTGATACATATGAATAATGGGCAGTGTGGTCTTTGTGGCTCTTAACAGCTTACTATTCAAAAACTACAGATAGAGGGAAAATCATTTGTGAAGCTGGTGTTTGGATAAAAGTGTGTTTTTATGTAACCTGATGGTGTTATCTTGGACAGATAAGACATTAGGTGATGGCAAGTATATTATAAAGATATATAAAGTAATAAGCACTAAGATTGCCAAGAACTGACTAGAATATCCTTGTTTTTAGTGTAAACCTTATTTCTAAAACTCTCGTCAGGAATGCTGTTTTTCTCATAGAAAAGAATAAAATTTTGTTTAATTTTTCTTCTTGGGAACATATTAATCCATCATGTTTTTAAATGGTACCTGTTCTGTGCTTAGTCATTTGATAAATGATAAGCAAGCCTAGAAAAGAAAAGTATGACTTGTCTGTTTTCATGGGCAGAGGAAATCATAGGCATAGAAGTAGCATTATAACATAGGCTCGAGGACCAATGTGGAAAATAACACACTCAAGGAGATTTTACATATATATATATATATATATATATATATATATGATAATCCTGAAAATTAAAGTCTGGCAAAACCTGGAAACCTAAGAGGAATTTGGGCTCTATATGACAGGTAATAGGAAACCATAGTGAAGAAGTTACTTATTAGACTAGAGTCTGTGGTGTATATTATGGAATAGGAACAAATAAGATCAAATGGGTAGATTAAGGATTGGGTCATGTAGGATTGTGAAATCTAAGAGGGAAAGTTAGAACTAGATAAAATAGGGATTAGGAAAGTTTGTTTTGTTTTAAAGTAATCTCTATCCAGAATAGGGCTCAAATTTACAACCCCAAGAGTCATATGCTATACTGACTGAGTCAACCAGTAGCCCTGGGCAGGTTTTTGACCAGTTTCACACTGGGTTCTTGACATGATCAAAATGGTTTTTTAAAAAGAATGTTTGATATAGCAGGAGCATGAGAGCTATTTGTATGCTACAGAAACTTGAAATAGGGAGAAAATATGGGAAGCCCAAAGAGAAGAGGGTCTGTCTGTTGACATTGATAACATTTTGAAAGAAGACGTAAGTTGATGACAAATCGAGTTTGTTCACATATTCATTGAACAACTGTTACTGAGTAATTGCCATACAGTGTGTGATAAGCGCTGAAGAATTAGGGATGCAAAAAGATAGAGTTTGGAGCTCCAGGGGCTTTCACAAAGCAAGATTGGCACCAGGATTTCTAACTGCGACAATCAGAATATAGGATACAAATTTGATAGGTATAAGAGAAGTAGGTTGTGGAAGGATGTAAGGAAGAGAGCACAGTAATATGTTTGGATCAGTAGATGTAGATCTACTGAATAGATCTTAATTGTTGAAAATATAGATCCATTTATATAAATATATAAATTGGAGTTTCATCCTCATACTCTTCAGAGTGGTATAGATCACAAGAGCATGTGTTTAATCTGTGCCTTGGTCTATGAGTGCTTGGTTTTTTTTAATCACAAGCACAAATGGCTTATTTTCATAAATTTTCTGTACAGTCTAAAGTTATGTGATTTTGTTAAGTATTTACCTCTTTTTAATGTTCTTTTTTGAAGAGTTTTTGCATCACACTAGTCAAATAAATATAATACTGGGTTTGGGGAAACTTTTTTCGTGGAAGGCGGATTTTTATTTGTTTCAATTAACTAGTCAGGGGAGGAATATTGATGGGGAAACTGATAGTGATATTTTAGATTTTGATTTTGGTGTACAGATTTTCAAATTCCAAAAAGATGACTGCTGTAAAAGTTAATTCTTAATATTCTCTCATTCTAGGACAACTTCTGCTTACTGTTCCAAGCCTTCATTTTCATCCTCATGACAACTTTTGTGTCATCTGGGAATGACATTAACTACATGTATTAATTATATACAGCATAAACAGAAATAACCAAATATCACTAGTCCTTAACTCAGGCCTCCTTTTTTCCCCCCCCTTCTCTAAGGAACGACAACCAAAATCACTACAATCCCAATGACTTCCAAGCCTAATGTGATTGTTGTGCAAAAGACTACAGGAAAAGGAACGACTATTCAAGGCCTCCCAGGCAAAAACGTTGTCACGACATTGCTAAATGCTGGAGTAAGTAAGAGCTTGTACTGCAGACTCAGCGAATCCACTGAGGATTTTAAAGACCAGCTATATAAATATTTGCCTAAGGACTTTAGAACCCCACAATGGCCTGTATGGTTTGATTTACCACTACTGTGATGTAATAACTGTTAAAATACCACCAACTGATGCCATTTTTCACAGTAATTTCTAAAACATGTTGCTCATAGCTACATTGCTTATGACCATGATTTAGATGCTTAGCTTAGTCCAGATGGAGGATTCCACTGGCTTAACTACAGGGAGACCTCTGTTAGAGGACAGTTTTGTTCCTGCCTCTGGCCAGTAGACACAAGCCTAGTATTGGCCCAGGCTGGGCAAAGTGAAATATTTGGAATGAAGAAAATTAATTGACAGGAATTTACTTTCATAATTAACTGCTTCATTTGTAGTTGTGAAGGCAGTTGTGCAGAAGTTTGGAGTTAGACAAACCTGGGCTTTGTCTCTTAGTATCGTAGTTGTTTGATCTTGGCAAATTTACTCAACTTCTGTCATCCTTAATTTCCTCATTTATAAGTTGGGGATGATGATCTTCACCACTGAGTTTGTTCAGTAACTGGTAGCTGTTTTGAAAATCCTTAGAACAGTGCCTCGTACGTAGGAAGTCTTGAATAAGTAGTTTTTTTCTTACGTTGTTACTCTTGGTACTTAACTATTTAGGCTTGGTAATGTCCTGATTTGCTAGAAAAAAGAATACTGTACTTCATTTTAGTAGATCTTGAGTAGCTTCCTAGGCATCACAATCTTTATAATGTTGGCATTAGATCTTTCATCACGTGGGAAAACATAGCCTGAGTTTACATGGTAAGCCAAAATAAAGCCTGGATTAGAATTCCTATTTTCAGAACCCCTTTATAGTCTGGTTTACAGTTTCATAGAATTTGATATGTAAGAGGGGATGCCATGTACCCAAAGTCCTGTGGTCATATACATCGAAGAGTCGTGTATGAATCCTAGCTGCTAGGTATATCTAACAGCAGGAGTTTGACTCAGGAAATACTAGTAAAAGAGAGCAGAGCATAAGACTACACATATGTATATGCATCTGTACTCATCAGCTTGTTTACCTGGGCATGTCTACACACATCAGAAGAGCTTCTTCAAAAGATAGCCTGCTAGTTGGTTTTGATAGGCTTTGAATGAGTCATTATACTTGGACAGGGCCCATTAAGCTATTTGATAGGTAGACATGCCCACTTGCAAACTAGTGGCTCTTGGCAAATGAACTAGAGCTCCTTCCAAAGCTGCTGCTGTGAAGGGTGTGTTTGTATTAAAATAAGTAATAACAGGAGTGATAGACACTTCATATCTCCCTGAGATAACTATCTCCCTTACAGCAAATAAACTTGTGATTTTTATAATCCTATTTAGCTCTAAATTCAGAGTGATTACCTTCTGCCAGCTCACTTGGGTACTTTGTTCTTACTGGCTGCTAAGTTTAGATGGCCACACATTTAGATGATGATGACTAAAAGTTAAAAACCAATAAGATAAAAATTTTTCTTTTCAGTTTTATGGATTTTAACTTTTAAGAATGAATTATTTAGTAAAATCACCATTTTTGAATTTAAACTCAAGTGTTGACTCTATAAATGACAGAAGGAACTTAAGAATAGAGCAGACAAAAGTGAAAAAATGGTGAAAAGTTAATGGGATTAAGCTATCTAGTTAATAGACTAAAGTGATATTAGTAACATACTAATAATACAACATGGGAAATGCCCTAAGTTTGTTTTTTGTATTTTCCTGTATAACCTCAGAACATTTGTTAATATCTGCTGATTTCATCTCTTGCCATGCTTTTTTGCATAGAGATTGTTGTGTGTCTTTATAATTTTGTATTTGGGGAGCTTAATTTATTTGTAGGTATACATTTAGCTATTGGTATAATGCACAGTAATTTCTTATTACATTAATGTCTATTTTGGTTAAATTAGAAAATAAACGTAATGTTTATTTTACCCAAAATAAAATTTGGGTAAATTAGAAAATAAAGGGGGAGACTTATAATCCCAACTCTTAGAGATAGCTATTGTTAACATTTTAGTATATATTCTTATATAATTTCCTGACTATTTTAATGTATGTATTTTATGAATGTGACATGGTAGTAAATATTCTTATGTGAGATAATTTGTAAAATTCACTTGTCAAGAAATAAGTAATGCTTTCTTTGGATCAAAAGTTGGGCAGATGACTTTTAGGACTGTCTCAACTATGTCTAGGATTTTTGGTCACCTGAAAACATTGTACTTTGCTATTTAATTTACAGTCCTTTCCCCATCATCCTGGTAAAACCTTGCTGTGTGATTTTTCAATAAAAGGATTTTTTAGTTTTTGGCATTTAAATACATATAAATCTCATATATTCACTAACTTTAATTTAGGGAGAAAAGACTATTCAGACAGTGCCAACAGGAGCAAAGCCAGCTATTATCACTGCTACAAGACCCATCACCAAAATGATTGTAACTCAACCAAAAGGAATAGGTTCCACAGTTCAACCAGCAGCTAAAATCATCCCGACAAAAATTGTTTATGGGCAGCAAGGGAAAACACAGGTATGCTATAAGATATGGTGGCTTTTGGGGCCCCTGGGTGGTTCAGTGGGTTAAAGCCTCTGCCTTTGGCTCAGGTCATGATCCACGGTCCTGGGATCTAGCCCCACATCAGGCTCTCTGCTCAGTAGGGGGCCTGCTTCCCCTCCCCCACCCTCTGCCCCACTGCCTGCCTCTCTGCCTACTTGTGATCTCTGTCTGTCAAATAAATAAATAAAATCTTAAAAAAAAAAAAAAATACAGTGGTTTTTCTTGGCTCTGGCATATTTCAAATTCCTAAAATTCCACGCTAGAAATTTGAATGAGAAGATCAATAATCTTTTAAAAGATCCGATTGTTAAATTAAAAAATAAATAAATAAATAAATAAAAAATAGAAGATCCGATTGTTAAGTTATGACCAAATGTACATAACCATCTGTTTTCAAAACCTGTGTTTCTCTCTTCAGTACTTTTTTTTGGGGGGGGTGGGGTCTAAATATTTGTGCCATGTCATGAGCAAAGTTTGGGGAAATGAACACCCTTGGAATAAAATTTGCTGAAGGGATATATTGTTATTTGAGAAGTAGATGCTTGAGGGAGAGTGGTAGTTATTTGGAATCTCTCAGAAACAGGTATTTTTTATAAGCTGGTATGGCCTTTGAAAGCACTTCAAATACTTAAAAAAATTGTTTTACTTGAAACCTAAGTGATAGAGTAGCTAGAGATCTGTTCATTTTTCAAGCAATAGAAGATAAGGGAATTTTTCTGGAAATTTGCCTAGAAAATTGAGGCTAAGGATTTAATCTTATGTTGCTAGACTACTATTTATTTTATAAAGTTCCTACTTTAAATGCTTTATGAGAACAGCAAAGGAGTAATGTCAACTTTGGTTGAGAAATGTTATTCTAGAATTCTTGTAACAGGTTTTATTTTACTTTAGTAATTTTCCTTTAGGATCAGTTCCCTTAGAATCATAGTGAAATCGTATACACATCTAAACAAACAAGTTTTGTGATTAGAGATAAGTCCAAATTGCCTTTAAGTTTTAACTGGTAACAATTCTCATTTGCTCCATCATTTGCATCATAGTATAACCCATGTTTTCATTCTTGAATTCTTGGAAATGGGTGAATTAGTGGAGTCTGAAAAGGTTTCGAATCTTACATATTGGAGAAATAAAAACTAAATGTGCTCAGTCAACATTTTTATTCTAGGCATCCAATTGAAGTCAGCTCCTAGAGTTCAGATTTTGAAGTGGAATGGTTCAGTTTGAAATCTTTCTCCCATTTCACTTATTTTAATGTCTGTGGTTTTGACCTTTGCCAGGAATTGATCTACCACATGTTTCATATTGCTTCTAATAACAGTTGTCTAAGTCATTGTTGTTCTGGGGATCTTTCGTAAGATGACTTAGGTCCCCACCATTTTGTGCAGGTGTCTCAATTAGGAATTTCATTTGGTTGTTAATGAAAAGAAACCTGAAGAACAGTGGCTTATACAAATAAGGGCTTATTTTTGTTATGTTAATAATAATGTGTTAATTATTTTATGATGTTAATAAATGTTCAGAGGGAGGAAATTCTAGACTATTCTCTTGGCATTGGGAATCCAGGCTCCTTGTGTCTTTCTCTTCTGCTGTCCATAGTGTGTGGCTCTCTTTCTACTGTATAGCCCACAGATTGTAAAATGACTTCTGAAGTCATCATAGGCAAGAAAAAACAGGGGAGAGCCTCTTGTCAAAATTGTGGCTGTTACAGTCTGGCATGTACCACTTAAAATCTTTTATGTGGCTTGACTCTAATTTGGTCATAGATTGAATTAGTCTTTGATGAACAGTGTTGTGCCCAAAGCATAATAAATATACAGAATACAGCTTCCCATGTCAGGAAAATATTCTTCATGACTTCAAGTTTGGCATTTTAAATAGTGCTCTAAAATTTAAGCTGGGTGTATTTCTGATTTTCTTCTAGGTTCTAATTAAACCCAAACCAGTGACATTTCAAGCCACAGTTGTTAGTGAACAGACAAGGCAGCTGGTCACAGAGACATTACAGCAAGCATCTAGGGTGGCAGAAGCTGGTAATTCATCTATTCAAGAGGGAAAAGAAGACCCACAGAGTTATACAGATAGTAGTTCCTCTTCTACAGAGTCCTCCCAAAGTTCCCAAGGTAAGATCCATTTTACTTCTGATTTATGTAATTGCTTCTGACATAGTGCCCTAGTTCCAAAATAGTTGAATCTAGGGGTTTCAAACAAACATGTATGGTTTGCTTTGTTGATTCTTTTGATTTTATTTTCCTTTGTTTGATATGTAATCAGTGAGCTGAAGTGTTGTTTTTGGTAAGATTTTACCATTCTTTCCTGCGTACCTTATGTTCATCAAATAATTGGTAAACTTTAGATGGTGATTTTGGCAGGTAGATGTTAACCAAACTTAAATAGTGCTGTGGTTCTTCTTGTTTCCTTTTGGGTAGTAGTAGAAGTAAGTGGGCAAGAAAGCAAATGTATCTTTCGAATGGTTACTGTATAACCTTGAGAAAGAATCAGGGTGGCCAGAGGTGGGCCATAACTGAGCTATAAGTAGAGTGACCATACATTGCAGTTTGCAGAGGACAAGTCCTGGTTTATATCTGTTCCAGCATAACTATTAATAGCATTCTTTTTCACTCTCAAAGGTATCCCAATTTAGATGATACTGTATGGTTGTCCTAATTATAAGGAAAGAGCTATGAAGCCAGACTCTATAGTAGGGAAGCTCTTTATCCTCAGTGTTGTTTTAATTACGTAGTTTGCCTAGGACGTCTCTTGAAATATATTCTTGATCATAAGCTCTGAGACCTACAAATCTAGTACTAATGTTTGTCAGTTACCTTGACAGCCCTTATTGTCAGATGGTAGGTATATTTATGCCTATGCTTGCTTATATGCTCCAATGCATCTACTAAGCAAAGCTGTTTATCTTCCCTTGATCATTCCTCACACACTCCATTCCCTCCTCACCCCGCTATTATTTTTTCTGGAGTACTTTCTGAACATCTTCACTTTTCTAATGCAGATTCTTCATCTTATGCACTTCTATTATTCTAATTGTTTAGCAGAGTCTTTCCAGATTAATGGGAAGTTCAGATTGCTTACAGGATTCAAATTCCTGATTAGTCCATTAATTGAATTTGACATTTATATATATATTTTTTATACTACATATTAAGTATTATGCTAGGCCCTATAAATGTTGAGTAAAATATAATTCTTGTTAAAATCTAGAATAGGAGATTAACAAATACATGTACAACTTCAGTATGAATATAATAAGTTTATTAGAAACAAACAAAAATGCCAAAGGCTAAAAAATCACACTCCAGTGAGGAGAGAATAAGAAAGCTTCATGAAAGAGATAGCATTTGAAGTGGTCTTTGAAAACTCCTCAATTAAAAAGAAATAAAACTGTTGATTTTAACAAACAATATGACACTCATTTTAGAGAGTGGATAGTTTTCTTCAGCATATTATCAATGTTAGTAATATGTTCTGGATCGATTTACTGAGAAGATTCAATTTATCATTCTATATTGATTATGAATCAGTCTTTGTACAAGTTACAATGGAGTGATGCCTGTTCTCTATTTCATTTGATCTTTATTTCATAATGATTTGCTATTTAAAGATTCCATTCTTACTTTCACACATTGGCTGTATTTTCCTCTTTTACTTTTAAGTCTCTGGTTCCTTGAATAATACATGTCATTTTTTTCCTTGAGAAATATTTTTATAGAGGCCAGGTAAATGTTTAGCTTATGAGTTGGTCCTAAAAGGGGGGCATGAACAGTAGATGTTTTTATATCCATAATCTCGGGTTATCTTGTGAAATTTCAAGTCTTTTCCTAAGGGAGCTGTAAGCCAGTCATTACTTCCCAAACATGCCATTTCATTAGGCAGTCTTAAGTGTTCATTCTAAGAATGGGACAGAAGTTTGGCTATTTTTGGAAGTGATTGAGTGGAAGGTTTTCTGCTTTTCAATCTCTTATTATACATGGCTTCATCTATTTTTATTTATTTGTCCTGTATCATTACATATTATTTATTTTAAAAAATTCTGTAATACAGAAAAAGTCAACAATTCGGAATACCTATATCTAGATTATAAAGCCAGTTTTTATCATCCTTATCCCACTCATATCTTTATATAGCTCCTTAGTGCATTCTCACAATGACTGATGATCTGTATGCTGTGATTTAAAGAGAAAGGGTTAGAGAGTTTGGTCAGTCTAAGATCATGCTGGTATTCAAAGTATATGAGGGTCGTACCTGTTGGGAATGTAAGCACTACATAGCAGTTCATTTTTTCCTTTATATTTTTTGGTAGTTTTTGCCACTCCCCCACCTTTGAAAACTTTTTCTTTTAATGTAATTTCAAACTTTCAAGAAACTTGCAAGAAGAGTTAAATTAAAAAGAGAGAAATTAATATTTTAAGATAATTTTAGTATAATTAATATAATTAATTTAATATAATTAAGATTTCTTTTTTTTTTTTAAGATTTTATTTATTTATTTGACAGAGATCACAGGTAGAGAGGTGGGTAGAGAGAGAGAGGAAGGGAAGTAGGCTCCCCGCTGAGCAGAGAGCCCAATGTGGGGCTCGATCCCAGGACCCTGGGATCATGACCTGAGCCAAAGGCAGAGGCTTTAACCCACTGAGCCACTCAGGCACACCTTAAAAATTTCTTTATTTAAATTTTGTTTATTTCCAGTAGGTTTAAGGTGGATTAGGTAGAATATAAGATTATGTGAAGTGAAATGGAAGGGAGCAAGGAGAGAAAACCAAGGGTAGGGATTTAAGATGGAACAAGGTATGAGGCAGATACAAAATTATGCATCCTATAAAGACATTGCTTTAAGAAGGCCACAACTTGGTTTCTAGGATGATTTTTCCGGAAGCTTTATGATCTTGGTAGATCATGGTGAGGGTGAGGAATAAATCCAGGTTAAGCAAAACATACTTATTGCAAAACTTTTCAGAGCTATTATGTGTTAATATATATTGTGAAAGATGAAGAGAAGAGTATATAATGTAAACTGCTCCCCAACTTTTTTGATCATAGAACCCTTCTTTTGCAGAACATCTTTAGGAACTAATGTTCTCTGAAACATTTTGAGTGATGCTGTCCAGGCAGTTTAATACCTCGAAGGGCTAGGGCTTTATGACAGTACTTCAGTGGAAAAATGCTTATTACATCATAGAAGGGACATAGACATCTTGGGTTTAGTGTTGTGTTTTTGTTTGTTTGTTTGCTTGTTCATTTGTTTTTTGTCAGAGAGAGAGAACACAAGCAGACAGAGTGGCAGGCAGAGGCAGAGAGAGAAGCAGGCTCCCGATGAGCAAGGAACCCAGTGTGGGACTCTATCCCAGGACCCTGGGATCATGACGGGAGCTGAAGGCAACCGCTTAACCAGCTGTGCCACCCAGGCATCCCCTGGGTTTAGTTTAGAAGGGGTGGTTTAAATGAGTAAGGCATCTGGGAATCATTTTATGTGAGAAAGTGTTGTTGGAAACAGGACATTTATTATGGAGAAGAGAAGATGAGGATTGGTTTGGGCACATTGGGAGCTGTCAGTTTTCTTGACTGTGACATGCAAGAGGGAAAAGAGTTGGTCTTTGTGGCTACATGGATGGAAACTAGAACCATCGGGTAGAAGTCACAGGGAACCCTGCCCATTTAAGAAAATTTTCTAATTGTCATAACTGCAGAAATGGGAGGAAACTATCTTAGAAAGTAGTGAGCTCTCTGGTGTTGCAGTTCCTGGATTGGGATACTGTGAAGATTTTAGTACAAGATTGCTGATAGCATGAAATGAACTTTTAGATCCCTGCTAGCTGAGAGGTCTGAACTTTTCCATGAAAATGTGATATGGGCCTTTTATGGTAAAGTTACAGGAGACATTCTTTCATAGAGATGCCTCATCTGCCCTTGCATATAACAGTACAGTGTGTATTTCTGGTACCTAACATGTAATAGACATCCAGTAAATATTTGTTAAGTGACCTGTGGGGAAAGCTATCTGAGGGTTAGCAGACCATCATCCTCAAGACAGGGAAGTCTACGATGCTGCTGTGAGATCGTGTTCTTGATGTCTGTCATTGCATTCTGACCTCATTCTCAGACTTAATAGGCAATAGATTTATCTAGTCTAAGAATAAAAGCCAAAGTAAAGAGGAAAATCACTTAAGGATTGGTTTCTACATTGAGAAATGTAGAAACTTTGTCACAGCTCTTGGGGTTGCCACAGTGATACTGTGCAATGATCAGCTACTTTCTAAGTATGGGCAGAAAGAGTGAAGAATCTCTAGCTCCTACAGGATAATGTTATTTGGGGTGATAGGTGCTCCCTTGCAGAGATTTGTTTTCTTTTTTTGGTCTCTTTCTACCTTATCCCTCTGCAAATGTTATCCTTGCTTTCTTCTGGATATTTAATGAATATACAGAATTGGGTTGCAAACATTCTTTGCCATGGGTCCTCTCACCTACCCAAAGGGGTGCTTACATCATTTTGAGAATTTCTTAAATGTGAGAACTTGGGTTTTATAAAAAGAATTATTTCCTAATAAAATTACTTTTCTTAAGTGTAAGTTCTATTTGTCTACTTATAACGAGTAAGGGAAAACTGTGGTATGCATCACATGACATTTGGTATTGAAGGATAGTGTCCCACAGCCTTCTAGAATTTGGGGAGAAGTTTAATGGAAATTATACACCCCTGTCGTATATTCTGTCGTATATTCTGCCTGGTGTTTGGGTAACTGGGGATGCAGTTTGTTAATGGTAATTAAAAATTCCATGTCTATTATATATCGATTTTTCTTTGGGAAGGCTATTTTTTTGTTTGTTTGTCTGCTTTGTTTTTTAAGAGTCATTTCACCTCCCCAACCTTTTTCGACAACTTTGTGGTGTTCAAAAAATAAAAGGTTCAAAGAAGGTGAACTTACATTGAATTTATTCTTGGTTTTTTTTTTTTGGAGTGGGGCTACATGAATTCTTTTCATTCTTCTACAATGCTTTCACTGACTAATCCAAATCAAAGCAGTCTTTTTCTTTCCATGTATTTGTCTTGTTTGCCCTAGTCATTTGATTTTACCCAAGAATACAAAGCTATATGTGTGTTTATTTTATTCTCCTCCATTGTAATTTAAACGTGGGAGTGGGGATCCAACATAATTTTTGTCCTCTGTGGAATCCTGACAAAGGAGCAATAGTCTAATCCAACCTGCTTATTCTGTAGATGGAAAACTCAGTAATTTGTTGCTTATTTTAATGCGCATTTAGTATTCACATGCCTACTTTCATAGTATAAATATAATAAACCTTGGAGTTAGGGCTCTAATTTATTTTGAAATTGACTAAGAGTCTCAGAATCAAGAACTTTTAGGACACAACAACAATAGCATTTCTACTGTCCTTCATAGTTTATGGAGCTCTTTTACATGCATTCTTTCATTATATCCTCAGAATTCCTGTGAGGCAGAGAGGTAAATTTATCATTGTCATTTTAGAAATAATGGCACTAAAACCTAAAGGCTCAACTTGTGAATAATTGCTAGAGCTGGGGCTGTAACCTAAGACATTGAACTCCAGATGTTATATGTGTCCTATTAGATCATCCTATTTCTAGATCATTTATCCATTCTTCTTGTTGGTGGATAGGATTTCTTTCCAGCAATTCAGCCATCCAGTAAGTGTTGACTGGATGCTCAGGTTGTAATACAGAACACATTTTCAGGTGCACTGAGGAAAATAAGACTCCTACAGTATTTTACTCTTATTATACACAAACATGCATCTACTTAACACAAATGCACACCTATTTATTATAGCAATTATCACATTGAATTGTAATTTGTCTTTTTACATGTCTGTCTCTCCAGCCAGATTATGTGCTTCTTGAGCATCCTCTGATTATTCCGTAAGCTCCTTTAAATCCTCAGTGCCAATACAGACTCCTGCTTACAGGTGCCTAGTTTGTTGAATCAATGTATAGGAGTGAATGAGTGAGTGAATACAGACACAAACAATATTATGCCCTCTGGGGGCTTACAGTCTTCTTGGGGAGATAAAGCATGAAGTTTACAGTAAATACAAAGATTAAAAAAAAAAAACAATTTGTTTTTTTTTTTAAGAGAAACTTTGTTTATAGGGTTTTTTTTTTTTAACTAATATAAAACAGATTCCCAGCCTGTAGTTCATGTAATTGCTTCCCGGCGTCAGGATTGGTCAGAACATGAGATTGCAATGGAGACTAGTCCCACCATAATTTATCAGGATGTATCCAGTGAATCACAATCAGCTACTTCAACAATCAAAGCTCTATTAGAACTCCAACAGACAACAGGTATGAATTCACATGCTCAATTGAGTGAAGCATGTTTTCTCTAGAGATGGGTTGTGCTAAAATACTACCACTGTTATATTTTCTTTGTTATTATTTGAGCACATTTCCCCCCTCTGGACTGGTCTATAGTCATTGCTGCAGTCTGTTTGCTTGTCAGTTCAGTAAGAATACTGAATTCAGTTCAGTAAGAATACTGCCCAGGAATACTGAAGGATAGGCTAGTCAGGGAGAAAAAAAGGGCAGAGCTCTTTCTTTTCTGTCTCCTGCTTAAAAGGGCAATCCTTGTAGCCTCTTGTCACCAGAAGGCAGTAGTTTCTATCATTTCTTAGCACAAGGGTAGATCCAGTATAGCTGCTAGTTCTATGTAAGAATAATAGTAGGAAGCAGATTGAAGAGCCTGCCATCCTCCTCGATACTGGTTGGGCAGTTTTGTGGACATAAAACACCATTAATAGCCCTTGCTAGCATTCTAATTGGTTTTATCTTTGTAGTTCATTATATAATTTAACCACTTGAGCTTCCATGCAAAGCCATCCTTATTTAACAAGATCCCATCAGTATTTCTGGTTATTTAAATATCTTCAATAAACTCCAGGCAAAACCTGTATCAGTTATACTGATTTACCTGTTACAGTAAGTCAAAGATTATTAGGTTACTAAAGGGACCTTAGCAATGATCTCATCCAACCTTCATTTTATGTGTAAATAAACTGAGATCCAAACATGTTACCTAGTAGGCTAGTGGCAGAGCAAGACTCCATGTCTTTCGATTCCTATTTCAGTGTCTGCTCTACTTTTGGGGTGACTGTAATATTATTTTGGTTTTGTTTTGCTTTCTTTGTTTAAATGATTAGCTTGACTTTGTCACATTATACTTCGTGGGAATGATCTGAATGATCATTCAGTGGACTTAGTTACTAGTAACTATTTGCCGTAACACCCACTTTACACTAGCCAAAGAATACTAGCATTTAGTGTCTTTGGTTAATCTTTCTATTGGTGTTATTTTTGGCCTTAGGTATTTCTTCAGCTTCTTGTCTTTGACATACTCAGCCATTTGCATTAATGTCTTATAAGGGTAGAAACCGAATGAGTAGATTTTATAGAAAAAGTGTTAAGATAGAAAGTAAATTTATTCATGGAACCCATTCTTGTTTCCAGGCCATTCCATAAAACATTTTTGTAGGAACAGAGAAACACTGAAAATTTTTATTCTTTAAGAGTCATTGAAGACTTGGTAAATTTCTTTGGAAATTATCTTGAATTTTTAATAGATCAAATTAAACCGGTCATTATATTGTGCTATTCTGGGTAGGTCTGCCCTAGAGCAAATCATGGTGTATACTGCTTATTCACCCTTTGTTTTCAGGTTGGTGAACTCAAGAAAACCAGGGACTACCTTGAAGAAGGGTAAAGGAAATGTTCTAAGAGGACTGTGTACAAGAGAAACAGATTGCTTGGCTTAGTCATAGTAGGCGGGAATTTTAGTCTGAATGCATATGAGTTCTTCTTGCTAGGCTGCTGGGTATGGCTGTACAAGTTGTGCATTTTACAACCATACATAGCAGTCTGCTTTTTTTCCTTTTCAATTCACTGTTTCCTTAGTCACTGCCAGTGTAGCACCCCAGAGGTCTGGTTCATATTCCCATGGACAACTCTGGTTTTGATACTTGTTTGTAATAAAAGTTGACTTTTCCCCTGACTTTTTTATGCAGTAAAGGAAAAATTGGAATCTAAACCAAGACAACCCACTATTGACTTGAGTCAGATGGCAGTGCCTATTCAGATGACCCAGGAAAAGAGACATTCTCCTGAGAGTCCATCCATTGCTGTGGTAGAGTCAGAACTAGTTGCTGAATACATCACTACTGGTAGGTGTCCTTGTAAAAAGTAGTATTAAGGTAGGAGAGCTACCTTTCTGGATTTATGGGATGGTTGTTTGGGGGAGAATATAGTTTTTATATTTCTAGATCTTTTCCAATTTGGTCTGAGAGTACATTCACATTGTCCTTGGGACTTACCCTATCATTAATGACAAGGGGGAAAAAAAGCAATTGGTTGTTGCAAACTGTAAATAATAAAGAATTGAAGGTGGCCGTAAATGAAATCTGTGGTTATAAGGTGACAGCTGTAAAGAGGATAAAATACCTTTTATATAAGGATAGATATTCTGATACATCTGAATTTTCTAGTTTTGGGGGAGGGGATGTGGGTCAAGGGAGAAAGAAGGTATAAAACCCAATGCTTTTTTAGCATAAAGGAAAAAATGGAGACCTTGAAATCCATGTAAATACTTAGGAGTTCTGGTGGAAGGCAAATTAGGTATTTGTTTAAAATGTGGTCTGGCCATAAAACACTAATGAGATTTTTAGATGGCATAGATAGAAAAGTGGAGCAGGAAGGATCATAAGATTCTTTCTCTCATATTCTGGTGAGACCATTCCTGGAATACTGCTTTCTGGTTTGGACACTTCATTACCTAGAGATTTGAAATAGTTCAGAGGATAGTAATGTGAATAATTAGGGGTTGGGAGAAATGACTTATGAGGCAGTATGTCAAGAACGCCTGTCTTAAGTTTTCTTAAGCAGTGATTAAAGGAGAATGTAAAGTTAAAAATATTTAAAGGTTGTAAAAAAATACTAAAGCGGAAAAAGAATTCTTTGGTATCATTTTTAAGAGATATTTTTAAAGATTAATTGGTTATGGTGAGTGCTCTGAATTGTGTAAGTCTGATGAATCACAGACCTGTACCCCTGAAACAAATAATATATTATATGTTAATTTAAAAAAAAGATTAATGGGTTAAAATTGCCAGAAGGGAGAATCCAGTTAAAGACTATGGAAAGCCATCTAGCATCTTTCTTTAGAGATATTTAGCAGAAAGCTAAATAAAGCAGAGGGCAGTATGTTGGGAATATGAGTATTAACCTCTGGGGATAGACTAGATTATCAGATGGTAAATGGAGGAAAAGACCTATGATTTCTTCCCTTACTTATCCTTTTCAGAACGCACTGATGAGGGGACAGAGGTTGCTTTTCCCCTTCTAGGTAAGTGGTGTGCATCCATTTGTAGTATAACTGAAGGTAAAAGATTATTGTTTTGGGGGGAACCACTTAAATGGATGCGCTCTACTCTGATCTGGTAGAGGAAAGGTAAGCTCCACTCAGTGAAAAGGAGACTTTCTTTTTGCAGGATAGTAGGATTCTTTCTCAGAAATGAGCAGTTTGACATTGAAAAAAATAAGAGCTGTTTAAAGAAATAAGTGACTGTTTTATGCTGTTGATATGGCCCAGTTAAGGTCACTTTCAGCTGTTTTCCATATGTTCACTCTCTGACTTCCTTCCATAATCTCCTCCTCATCATATCCTCAGCCACAGTAAGCATTTTCTTTGACTTCAGATCCAGGTTCCTGGCCCTGATGTCTTGTATTATCCTACAATAGGTGTTAGTTTTCTCTGACTTTCCCGCACACTGGGGAATTACTATGAAGGGGTTTATAGATCTTGAATGAGGATTATTCTTAAATTATTTTAGTTGATCTTCTATTAAATCCATTTCCTTTCTTAATAAAAAATTTAATGTTATAATCATGAAGATTAGTATGGACAGCAGAAATGTTCCATATAATCTGATAATTTCATAAAAGATTATTTATTATTTTTCAAATGTCACTCATTTCTGATGATGCTTCTATCAGTTAAAAAACAATTAATTTGTTTAATTTTAATATTAGTATGATTTATTTTTTCTCCTTAGTCACATTATAAATGATTTCAGTAGTTCTAATATCAACACTTTTTTTTCAGTTTGGTTGAGCACATGTGGAAGATTTTATTAACTTACATAATCTAAAATGTGCATGTAAAGCATACTGTGAAATGCAGTAAGATACTGCAGTACATTTATACCAGTGATGCTGCCTGTAATCTCTTAGAGCACCTGCAGGCATATGTATAAGCAGTAATAGAAAAACTGTTTGTGAATATAGACAGAATGAGTTACAAAAATAAGTAAAGCTTGTTTATATTACATTGGATAGTTTTAGTTCTGTACTTATAATACCTAGGTGGTACTTTGACTTTGATTTCTTTTTTTTTTTTTTTAAGATTTTATTTATTTATTTGACAGAGAGAGATCACAAGCAGGCAGAGAGGCAGGCAGAGAGAGAGAGGAGGAAGCAGGCTCCCTGCTGAGCAGAGAGCCTGATGCGGGGCTCGATCCCAGGACCCTGAGATCATGACCTGAGCCGAAGGCAGCGGCTTAACCCACTGAGCCACCCAGGCGCCCCTTTGACTTTGATTTCTGTAGTGATCATCTTCTTGGACATTCCACTATCACTTTTCTAAACATGGAACCACTTAATATGGAAATACTTGAAATTGCAGTTTGAGATATTTGAGCATTAGAATCGTGGGTTATTCAGAGAATTTTGATATTCTCAAAATACTTACATAATCTTACAGATTTGTTTTACTCTGCTCTTGATTCAAAAAGTTCATTTCCCAATAACCATAAGCATTTTTAAGGCTCTGTAGAATAAGAAGTGGTGAAGGTTTTACTGTTTAAAAAGTTGAAGTTGAAGCTGGTAAGAGATAGTTTGGCATCAGTGCAGACATCGTTTTACTGTTACACGGACATCAGTGCCTAGCTTATTCCTTTGCACTTTTGTAGTGAGAGAATACGAAATGGGGTTGTTTTCCTGTTACACTGTATTCTCACCCATTTATGTCAGATGAACAAAATTTGTGATTTTTCTATTCCTATGTTTACTTTTAAGACTTAGCAATTTAAGGACCATTTTCAGTCTGTTACTTCGTTTGATCCTCTTCTAGGTAGAAAAAAATTTTTTATTTTCCTATTTAAAAAAAAAACAAAAATAAAACCTCTAAGTTTAGAGACTAATAGAATTTAAATGACGTGTTCAAATTCACATAGCTGGGGTTGGTGGCAGAGTGGGACAGAATCCAGGTGTGACTCTTGGTCCAGTTCTTTTTGCGGTATCATCTTGACCTCTTACATCCTTAGGAACTATAAGGCTGCAAGACAATGTCACTTCATGTAAAAGAATGAATGCTTCTGGGTTTTATATTGCATTAGGAACTGAGACCAATAAATTAAAGTGTTATCTTAGTAAATTTAGTATTACCTTCATGTCCTTAAAGACATTAGCCTGGGATTTGATTGCAGAAATTTATTGCTGTTTTGTTACCTTAAAGGGGTGAAGGTTGTTGGACAAATTAAGTACAGCTCACAGGAGGCTGTAACTTTACGGGGTTTGTTCCTCCTTTGTGATAATAGTTTTCACGATGCTTCCGCATTTCTCATCTCATCCTCATAATGGCTCTGTTATTCCCATTTTACAGATGAGAACACAGAGTCTCAGAGAAGATAAGTGACTTTCTCAGAGTCACACATCTCATAGATGGGCAGACTCTGGTCTTCTGCCTCCTAGTTCACAGTACCACATATTCTCTGTGATGCAATCTCACAGACATTTGTTTAAAATGACTACTGGTTACAGATGCTGTGGTGATTTCTGGAGAAATATCATCACCTCCTCTATTTTCAGTCAGCCATCGCTCCCAGCCCCAACAGCCCTCCCAGCCCCAGCGGACCCTGCTCCAGCATGTGGCTCAGTCACAGACTGCAACACAGACTTCAGTGGTGGTGAAGTCCATCCCGGCATCTTCCCCTGGAGCAATCACCCACATTATGCAGCAGGTTGTATCTCTTCTTTCTCTTCTCACCTTCTGTTACTGCCTCCTTCCTGAAATAAGGTTTAGTTTCATTGATTATAGGAGAGGAAATAACTGAATTGAAGAGCAATTCTTTCCTCTGTGAGGACTGAGTAGAGAAAATGAATTGAGAGTCTTAAAACACTGGAAAGTAATTAAGAAACAGTATTCATGGATCTTCTGTAAAATTGGAACATTTGAAAAGGGTCGGATTATCTAGATGAATCTATGACTTCAGAATTGGTCACTCTGCATACGTTGTTATGAAAGCATTTATCACTGAGGTGAGATTTTTAAATGAAATAGAAGTTAGCTTGTTTAGCTGTTTGTTGCTAGGTGTTTTGGTTTTAAAATGAATTCTCATAGGAAACATTATTTATAAGTACGTATAAATATCTCACTTCTTTTACTCTATGTGACCAATTGAGGAAGAGACTTAATAGGGGAGGAGAATGAGTTAATATAAAACAGGAAATCTGGTATCAAGGGTAACAGGGAAAAAGAATATGTTGATAAGCTGATTTTGTGTCAGATACTGTGCTTTGAGCTTTAAAATACATTAATTTGTTTAATTCCCACTATGATCCTGCAAGGTAGGTGTATTATCCCTCTTACAAATGAGGAAACTCGTGCTTACAGAAGTTAAGTAACTTATTCTGGGTGGCAGAGCCAAGGTTTAAACCCAAAGCATCCTGCCTCTATACAAAGTGATATCATAGATGCCAGATTTAAGTGTGACTTCTGATTAGTTGTCACATAAATCACCATCATTTGACTGGTAGCAGTTGATCCTAATTGTAAGCAAACTAACCTGAATGACAATAAATTGTTGCATTAAAAATCTCTATGTGTAAGGTCATTATGAGATAGAGGAGGGTTTCAATTGAATCTCAAAGTTTTTAAAGTTTAGAATAAAGGAATAGCATGACAAAGAAGTAGGAAGAATGGGGTTGGGGTGGATGTTGTGTCACTGAGGAAAGCCAGGTGGCCAGAGGTTTAGCTGAGTATCAGATCTCAGCCTGGTTGCTGGCAGGTCCTGACATTGAGCTTTCTCAAGACCCCCAGAGAGGTCAAACCAGCTGGCCCTAACCATGTCCCTCAAGATCGATGCTTCCTCCCATCACAGGTACAACTGACACAGAACAATCTCCCTTTCCACAGACAGGAGTGCTTCTCCATCCCCTCCCTGGTCTTCTCCCCTCCTGGCAGCCCAGTCTCTGGGAAACTGTTGCTCAATGGGCCCAGAAGATGACCAAAGTGGGGAGGACGACTAGTGCAGAGGGTTCTTCACACAGGCCTTGGTGAAGCCTGAGGACCCATTTCTACTCTGAGCAGAGAGGCCCTCTTTGGGGACTTGTATGGGCATGTCCCTCAGACAGTGTCTCTTCCCTTCTGGATAGGGTTGGACATACACACGGCCAACGTGGGCTTCTCTGAACCTTGGCTTTTCTCTGGACACCTCATTCCTGGGTTGCTGCATTCTTTTCTTTGATTGGGTCAGTATCTCTGATGACCAGGCAAGAGAGCTGTGTCCTGAGCCAGAGAACCTCTCCCTTTTCTGTGTTGGGCTGTGCTTGCAGGGCAACCTTACTCCTCCTACCTATACATTCTGGGCTCTCAAGAACTTTTCTTAAAGAAGTGAGTAGATCAGTTTTTGCAGTCCTTAATGTCTAAGAGTTGAAATTACAAGAGTCTCAATCTAAAGACCCCCCTTTAGATTTAGAAAACTTGAGTTTCTTGGTCTTTTTAGGCTCTTCCTTCTGAAAATTTTTGAATGAATCTCATAACCAAGTCTCTTCCAGTTTGAGGAAAATGTAGCAATGTAGGTGTTTTTCTTATTTCATTCTTACTTTGTGCCTTTTTTACTTAGGCATTAAGCAGTCACACTGCTTTTACCAAACACAGCGAGGAACTTGGAACTGAGGAGGGCGAGGTTGAAGAGATGGACACTTTAGACCCTCAGACAGGTCTGTTTTACCGATCTGCCCTGACTCAGTCGCAGTCAGCTAAGCAGCAGAAACTTAGCCAGCCTCAGCTGGAACAGACTCAGCTGCAAGTGAAAACTCTGCAGTGCTTCCAGACTAAACAGAAGCAGACCATCCACCTGCAGGCAGACCAGCTCCAGCACAAACTCCCGCAAATGCCCCAGCTTTCCATCAGGCACCAAAAGCTCACCCCTCTCCAGCAAGAACAAGCACAGCCCAAGCCAGATGTACAGCACACACAGCATCCCATGGTGGCCAAAGACAGGCAGCTTCCTACTTTAATGGCACAGCCCCCGCAGACTGTAGTACAGGTGCTCGCAGTGAAAACCACGCAGCAGCTCCCTAAACTGCAACAGGCTCCGAACCAACCAAAAATCTACGTGCAACCCCAAACCCCCCAGAGCCAAATGCCGCTCCCAGCCGCATCAGAGAAACAGCCGGCAAGCCAGGTAACGGAATATTGGTAGCATGCAAAGCTAAACTTCTCTGTTCACGGAAAAAATAAGAACATCATGACCCTGTCGTGATTAGCAGTGCTTTCTCCTGGCAAGAGGAAACTCAAAAGCCTCATTTATGCTGGTATTACTTTACCCCATCAGAAGGTTGATATTAGGGAAGAAATGTACGCATTAATAATAGGAAGAAAAAAAAAGCATAGCATGCAGAACTTGATTTTCCAGACAGTTAATGAAATCACTTCAGCATTGGTCAGCAGTGCATGGAAGCGAGATCCCTAAATTATTTGTATTTTTTAGGTATAAAATAATTTTTTTTTCCGTGCCTATAAACTCATATCTGTGGCAGTAAAGCTAAGTAAACTACAGTCTTTTAAGAAGCTTCATTGAACATCTTCCTTTGTAGTTTACATCATTATCATCTAGTTAATAAATTTACCTTCTGGATTTATCTTCTAGATTATAGAGGAATTATCTGGATAATCAAAAGAAAAATTATATTAAGGAAAACCAGTGGCTTTAGAGTGATGTATATGTGTGTATGTGTGTATTATATAGAGAATATATTTGTATAGGTGTATTTTGAAGCAAAAAATTGAAAATCCTACTTTTTATTTTTAAAAACTGAAGAAGATGCAAATAATTTGAGAATGGGTTGAAGGTATACTGTGTGGGGATATAAATCCCAAAGGAAAACAAGGCTGCTGTGACTTTTTTTTTTCCTTTATTGCTGTGAACCTTGGCTGGCTAGACGAAGGTTCTTTTTATCCCTCCTCATTCCCTAGGTTTCTTAAAAATAACCACATACTTTCCCATCCAGCCCTCTTTTAAAACACCAAGCTTCATTCAGAATGTCTTCCTAGTATACCGCACGAATGTTTCTTTTGCCATAGTATCTGGGGTGTTGGATAGGTTTTCTCAAAGAGATGTAGCTGTAACACACACAACCCCAATTTGTTTTCAGGTGGAGCAGCCAATTATAACCCAAGGATCCTCTGTTACAAAGATAACTTTTGAGGGGCGCCAGCCTCCCACAGTTACAAAGATAACTGGTGGCAGTTCTGTGCCTAAGCTGACATCACCAGTTACAAGCATATCTCCCATTCAGGCCTCTGAGAAGACAGCAGTGTCAGACATTTTGAAAATGTCTTTGATGGAAGCTCAGATTGATACAAATGTAGAGCATATGGTAGTGGATCCCCCAAAGAAGGTTCTTGCCACTGGTATGCTCACTGGTGAAGCAGGATCATTACCGTCCACCCATGTGGTGGTGGCAGGGATGGCGAATTCCACTCCCCAGCAACAGAAATGTAGAGAGTCCTGTTCAAGTCCATCTGCTGTTGGCCCTCCCTTAACGACAAGGAAAACCGATGCACCAGGAGTGCCTACGACAGGCCAGTTCATGCGTATTCAGAATGTAGGCCAAAAGAAAGCTGAAGAGAGCCCAGCAGAAATTATCATCCAGGTAAGAATTGGAAGGAACATGAGAAGTATTGGGCATCTTGGGGGTTGTGGGTTTGCTGTGATTGGGGCTGTTACAGGAAGAGTCATGCCAAGATGGCAAAAGACATAGCAATTATTTTTGAGATGGCATTTGAAAAATTGGGGTTTAATACCCATTATAAATATACAAATTTTTATTTTCTGGAAGAGAATTCTAGAAAATTGGTGGATGTTATCACACCCCCTCTTAGAGGTAGTCAAGGGCCCTGAGCCCATATGTCAGCTTGATTTGTAGATATAAGACGTGCTTGCCAGGGTTAACTCAGTAAGTCAACCCAGAAAATGAGCAACTTGATGGGGTCAGTCTCCCCGGTCTTTGCTCAAAAACTCCTGGGATATAACTGGATTGCACTTTTATTTCAAGTCAATTTCAGGGGCCCTTTCCTTGGAAATACACAGCTCTTTATCTTGATCTAAGTTTATGGTTTTCAGGACAGTTAAACCTTAATTAACTGCAGTGTCTGGAGAAACATGTTGTAAGAAAATGTTTCTACGTAATTTAATTTTATATTTAATTTGGGATTAACCATAAAGCTTTGCTTTTTATTTCAATCATTGTTGAAAAATCTTGTTATGGTTACTGTCCTACCTTGGTAAGTACAGGCTAGTGAACATAATGAATTATTCATTGGCAGTAGATCTTCTGTGCTTCACATTCCCTTCATTTTGAAACTCATCTGTCATCATGCATAATAGATCAAGACTAAAGAATTACTGAGTCCAGACTAGCCTTTAGAAGTTGTATTTTACTTCCCTTTCTCCTTGCAGGGTTTCAGATTGTTTTCTTGTCACTTGTCATTTTTTTGGCTACACTCATAAGATGGCTTGGAAGGTTATCAGAACAACACATTTTATTTAATGGAGAATTTGGATTCATTGAAATGTGGATAATCTAGGATTTACCATAGATTCATTGTTGTGTGACTTGGAAGTTTCTATGGTAAACTTTCCCTTTTCCATGATGCCAGGCTATAAGAGAATACAAATTGACCAATATTATATTTATTAATATAAATAAGTATGGGGAAAATGCTTAAAGGCAAATAGAACTGGCCATTGAATTATTAAATGATTTCTTCCTCTGTAAAAACAGTTGTTAGCAAATTAAGTCATTCTTGACAGGGGGAGTCATTGGTGTGTCGCTCCCCCCACCCCACCCCCCAAAAAGGTGGAAAAAGACTTTGAGTTCCTAGCTTTGCCACTCATTGTGTGACTTTAGGCAGGGTTCTTTTACCCCACTCTTCGTTAGTTTCCTCATCAGTAAAAATGGGAATAAGGAATGCCTATTTTACATGATTAATGGGCAGATTGTACAAAATTGAGATGAAGCACCTAGCACAGTACCTGGCTCTTGGTGATTGCCCAATAAATGGTGGCTGTTAACTATTTTACTAAAATTTACTGTGGCTCCTAAGAGTTTAAATTGGTATGCCAACTATATTGGAAATAATTTGGGATAGCTTATTTGGAAATTATTTTCTGTATTTTATGAACAGGGCTGAAAATTGCTTTGTGTATCAAGGATAGTATCTAATGAGTTGGCTCTCTACAGAACACAAAACTAACTTTCAGTGTATATATACCATGTGCTAGGTGGCCACATCAGAGGAAAGGACAGTGTGGTGGTTAGGAACCAAGCTTTTGGAGTCAGAAACACCTGGGTTTGAGTCTCAGCTGTGCTCCTTCTTACCAGCATTGTGGTTTGGAGCAACAGAGTTCACCTCTGTACCTCCGTTTCATTCCCTGTGAAATGAAGAGCATAACAGTTATTCACAAGGTTGTTTTGAGGATTTCATGGGAAACTGTATGGAATATAGCTAGTTAAGTGTCTGATACAAAGGAACACTCAATAACTATAGCTCCTGTTACTATAATCATCAGGAATATATTGTTGGGATATTTTCAGATCTTCCTAGATACACTTAGCTTTGACTGGAAGTACTGATTTTATGGATTCAGTAAAATAGTGTGGGGATGAATGAAAGAAGTCTACAGAAGTGCTTTGATTCCTTGAAAAATGTTTTATAAGAATTCAACATGTTTAATAATAAATACTTTGAATGAAAGCATTGTTCTTTGTAGACACTGTATTTCATTCATTTGTTCATTCATTCATTCATTCATACCACATGTATTATTTAACCTCTGTGTTCTAGGTGCTGTGCTAGGTGCAGGCTAGAGGAGTAAACAAAACAAATATATCTTCTATTCTGAAGGAGTCTATATATGTGGAACTCATAGTTTTAGAACCTTAGATATACTCTAAAGATCTTTAGAGTATATCTTACTGCACAAGATTAAAGCTCAGTGAGGTGAAGTGACTTGTTCAGAGGTCCATAGCACATCTGAGCCAGAATTGAACTAGAATTCAGGTCTCCTGACCCCACCTCAGACTTCTTCACAGTGACCAGCTATATGGACCAGAGTGGGGGAAAACAAGTGACAGAAGACTCCACTAATCTAGATAGAGTGCCTTGGCATCTTGCAATATTTTCTTTATAGTGTTAAAATTATATTTATATCCCTCTCCCCATCAGTTCCCACCCTGGCAGTAGAAGACTGTTTTGGTCAGGTGTATTTCCTGATACTCAGTTTTGCCCCAGGACTTTGAATGGTAAAGACAGGTCAATTCATTTGGCAGGTGTTTATTGAGCAACTAAGGCATGACAGGCCCTGTTCAGAACTCTGGGCGTCTAGCAATGAAAAAAAGTAGTCAAGGTCTGTGCTCTGATACATACTCTCATGGAGCTTACATTCTAAGGGTGAGAAAAAAATTTAACAAAAATGATAAATGCAGTGAAGAAAAAAACAACGTAATAGAGGTGGGAGTGGGACCTACCCAGTGATCTGGTTTCATGGTCATAGAAGGAAAGCTTCTCAAAATGTTTTACTCTAAGCATTTGAGCTAAGATGCAGATGACAGGATGGAACCAGCCATGCAGAGATTCAGAGAAAAAGTATTCCAGGAAGAGGGGAGGAACCTAGTGCAAAGGTCCAAGGTATGAGTGTGTTTGGCATAAACCTAGAGTCGTGACAAAAAGTTTGATTTTATAGCAATTACGGTAGGAAACCGTTGTAGAACTTTAAGCAGAGGTATGATGTGAACTGATAGACCTGATAAGGATGAGAAAGAAGAACCTGACAAGGCAATATGGCCATAATATGTGTTTGTCTACTCATATTTTAAAAGACAGTTTTGTCCTCTTAGGAAAGAGAATTAGTATGTCACTCAAATAAATAACTTCCCCTTTGAACTACCAAAGGGTTACTGAAGGTTACTGAAGGGTTTAAAATATATTGTGGTGTCAGCAAATTAATCATATACCTTGCAGATAATAATGAGTGAAATCTGACTGCATTTACATTTAAAATTTGCTTAATGATCAGATGAAAATGTCCTTTAAAGTCTCTCTCTTGAATTAGGCACAGACTTCAGCCTCCTTTACTGGAGGACGTGCCATCAGGAAGTGAAAAGATCACTTTATGTTGTTAGAAGACTTGAGCTTGAATCCTGGCACTTTAACTTTGACCAACTGTGTGACCTTGATTAAGTCACTTACTCTCTTAGTTTCCTCATTTGTAAAATGGGAGTAACATTTTTCTTACAGTGTTGTATGGGGATTTAGTAGAGTATCATGTGTGAAAGCACCTAGCACAGTGCCTGGCGTGTAGTAGTTGTCCAATAAATGTCAGTTTCCTTGTTTCCTTCCTTAGTGTTGGGGAAATCCTCCTGTTTCTTCTTTTTACCATAAAGCCTCTCTCCTGTGTCTTCTCTTCCAGGCTATTCCCCAGTATGCTATTCCTTGTCACTCCAGTTCCAACGTGGTTGTAGAGCCCAGTGGGCTTCTTGAGCTAAACAACTTCACTAGCCAGCAGTTGGATGACGATGAGACGGCAATGGAGCAAGACATAGACAGTAGCACAGAGGATGGAACCGAGCCCAGCCCCTCTCAGAGTTCTGCTGAACGGTCCTAAGTTTTTGGAAACAGGCGTGCACTTTAAAACCTACTTGGTTACCAAGTGTCCAGGGAAGCCCTTGATTTTTGATGTCTAAAGAGAGCACTTTGCCCATGCTTAGGCTATGGACCCCCAAATCACAGTGTTTCAACAAGAGTTGCTGCAGGAGCAGCATTTTAAAACAAGATAAAACTCACAAGGGAATGTACTTTTTTAAAATTAAAAAAAAAAAAAAAAGGAAAAAAAAGGAAAACTAAAAAAAAGAAAAACATGCACATCTGCAGTGACAAAAGACCTGATATTCTTTCTCTGTTGGACCACAGCTGATGGAAAAGTATGTCATGCAGTGGAAAGAGACTTTTCCTGTGAATGTTCCTCAACTGGTTTCTGCTGAGCAAAACACCATCAGAAAAGGAGAATGTGAATAGTTTGTATTTTGAAACGGTGTGTCAGGAACAGTTTTTTAAAAACCTTGTATGTTTTTGAAAATCTCTGGAATTGTTGAATTGGTTAAAATTTTACAGTTTGCTCAGTTTATAGTTTATAAAATAACTAGAAAAATACTGGCATTAAAGAATCCTTGTTAGATGGTGGAAATCAGATCCCTAACCAGTAGGAAGTGCTTTTTGGGTGGCTTGTACATTCTCATCAATTGTATGCTAATTTATTGTGTTGTTGTTCCTGTGCTCTAGGCAGTGCACTTGCCTTCTATTTATTTAAATGTAAACATTTCAAAGCAGGCCATATTCTTTCTGACAGATTTCCTGTAAATCAGGATTGCCTGCCTTTTCCACCTCCCACCCCTCCCGCTCCTTTAAGAAAAGAGAAAATGTTTCATTGTGAAGGAGAGGAAAAGAAACATTTTCTAGCCCAAAGGAAATGTTCTGCTATGTTCAGGAAAAATTATCCATATGATGCTCTCTTAACATTGAAATTGCACATTCATATTGGACTGAGACTTTGAAGATAACTTCTACATACTTTTGTTTAAACCCCTTTGAAATGTATAAAAATTAATTTGCAGTTCTAAATGTAATGTTTTTAAGCATTCTGCCTTTTTAGGACACAGTTTGTTTAAGCAATATGTTTGGGTCTTGTGATCACTGTCTGTCACAAGTAGAGTGAGGGGTAAGAGGGTGGGAGGGTAACGGTCAGTTTTGACAAGTTGTGGCAAAGGAAGCAATTCTTTTCATTTTTAAAAAAATGTAAATAGAAAAGTTTTTAACGGTTTTATATAGATTTCACTATAAATAAGCATTTTAAGACTGACAAATGTTGAACTGTATATACATATCTCAGCATAACTGCCCAATTTTTTGGTGCTGAAGTACTGTAAGTAGATTTCATCAACAGTCTCCTAATTTTTGCATCTATATCTAGAAAAAGAAACTGTGATACTGTAGTTAATAAATTCCCACTAGAGTGACACTGAAGATTTAAACACAAGCATTTATAAGATGCACTGACCTCTGGTAGTCGCCATCATTTCTCCTGAGTGGTTAACGACTTACCCATAGATGGGGCTGTTGGATTTTATTTTATTGTACAAATTCATGTTTAAAAGACTTTGTGATTTTTTCTAGTTAAGTAACTTTTTAACCTCTCCAGTCATAGGCTTCTTTGAAAATCTGATCACACTATGAACTCTCCCCAAAAAGACACACATGCCAATATACATGTTAGATTTTACATACAATCTTAGGGGTTTGTGGGCCCCTAATCCTAACCATGTATTGAAGGTTAAGCCCTCTGTTATGGTCAGTCCACTACTTACAGATGTAAGTTTTTATAAAATAAAATATCTTTTAAATATTCATGGGTCAGGTAACAAGAGCAAACGTGAATAAAGTTATTATGTCTACTTCTACATATTCTGGCAGCATAGCATACCTGTGTCCCTTTGACAATTTAACCTTAATATGTTTTCAGCAACTGGAATGGCAGATGAAACTTCATAAGCTACACTTTTAAAAATTAGTGTGTATATATTAACAAATTATCAAGTGACGGATTTAACATTTTTTTTTCCTTCAAAGATATTACTTTTAAGGAGACCATGAATTCTTTTGTTTATTCAACAAATATTATTTAAACATCTTCTGTGTGTCAGGTACTGTTCTAAGCGCCAGCGATTCCACAGTAAATAAACAGAAAATCCTACCCTTATGGAGTTTACAAACAGAGCTTCCTGCTGAAGAGTGGATGCCAGGGCCAAAGGAAGGAGGAAACTCAAGTGACCCTTAGGTTTCTTGCTTAAGTGAATGGATGGTGGTGCTGTATATGGGTCTCCAGGTATCCTTTTACTGAAAGTCTTAGCATTATTAAATGTAATTTTAAATCAGTCCTTGTGAAAGATATCCAGAGATTATGCTGCAAATATTACAGAATTATTAGAGTCCTAACAACTGTTACAGGCAGTGGTAAGAAAAATTCATTTGGTTTGAAGTAAACTTTGTAAAGGCTTTGTATTGCACAATGCAGTTTATGCTGAACTTAGGGATCTTAAAAAAATGTTTTATTGAAATTAATTCACATGCCATACAATTCACCCATTTGAAGTATACAGTCAGTGGTTTTCACTGTATTTACTGAGTTGGGCAGCCATCACTACAGCCAGTTTTAGAACATTTGCATAACCCTTTAGCTGTTACCCCTGAAACTCACCCTGCCACTCCAGCTCTAGGCAACCACTAAACTACTTTCTGTCTCTATGGACTTGCCTATTCTGGACATTTCATAAAATGGAATCATACAATATGTGGTCATCCGTGACTGGCTTCTTTCATTTGGCATAGTATTTTCAAGATTGTAACATGTTTTAGTCCTTCAGTCCTTTTCATGGCTCAGTAATATTCCACCGCATGGATAAACCACATGTTATTTATCCATTCATTGGTTGATGGACGTTGGGGTTTCTACTTTTGGCTTTTATGAATAATGCTGCTGTGAACATTTTGTGTACAGTTTTTACATGTTTTCTGTTCTCTTTGGTACATTTCTAGGAGTGTAATTGCTAGGTCCTACAGTACCTGTGCTTAATGATTTGAGAAACTATCAAACTCTTGTCTACAGTGACTGTACAGTTTACAGCAGTATAGGACAGTTTGACCTTTTCTACATCTTCACCAATGCTTGCTATATTTGTTTTTTTGTTTTCATTATTTTTCAAAATTATATCCATCTTAGAGTGTGAAGTGGTACCTCATTATGGGTCTGATTGACATTTCCCTGATGGCTAATGATAAGAATCTTTTCATCTGCTTGTTTGCCATTCACAGATCTTTGGAGAAATGTCCTTTGCCCATTTTCAAATTGAATGATTTTCTATTTTATTATTTAAATTGAGAACTTTTGAAGTACAGGCAATAATACCACTCTTAAAAGAAAAGTAACCTGTTCTCTAGTCATTAATTCATCACCCTTAAAACCTTAATCACGTTTTACTTCCTCTCTAATGTAACAAATTGCTTAACATTCTTAAAACTGTGTAGAGCTAATTGAAAACGTTTTTAAATACATTTCTTTGTGAGGTTCTCTCAATGACCTGCTTGGATGGGAGACATAGTACAAAGGAAAAGTACCCAAGTGGTCGGATTTGAGTCCCAGGCTCCTGTGTTAATGAATCATATGAACTTGAGCAGGTCCCATTCCCGGTAATACAAAGTGTGAGTTTCTGACCCACTTGGGGTTATCGTGAAGAATGCATGAAATAGTGCATGTAAAAATGCCAGGCACAGAGGTGCTCTATTTTTTAAGTCTAATAGTTATTAACAGTCCCACTTTATAAATAGAAAATGAGGGCGCAGAGACAAATGAAGTACCAAAACACACAGATTATATGCTAATAGGCATCATGCTGATCCCCAAGTTGATACTTTCTATATAGGAGTGTATGTGTGCCACCAAACACAGAACTGGCCTTTGGAAAGACAGGGGAACTTGATGTTGGCCTTTAACATAATCTCTTTGTCAGTCTTGGGTGCCTTCACACAGAGGTGCTCACACACAAGTTTGTTTTTTGAGTTCAATTACATGTCACAAATCCCAGATAAGAGGAAGTAGAGTGAAAAAGCACCATGTAAGCAAGGCCTTTCCAAGAAGAGTGAGAAAACAGTCTGCTGCCTCTGCTTACAGGTGTATAAGCCTTTAAGTGAGGCCTATGACCTATATATTGAAAAAAGGATTGAAACACCATAGAATCAGATTTGTACTTGTGAGAAGTCTTGCTCTGCTTTCTTACCTCTTCCTCGCTTACACAGACTGTAACTGAAAACAGGGCACTTAAGGAAAAAAAAAAAAAAAACAAGCCTAGGTTTGAATCCTGACAAGCCATGTAGCTGGACAAGCTCTGAGAGGCTTCAGTTAGCACAAGATGGAATGAATGATTTATACTATGTCACCTAATACCCATTTTTAAATGTCCTGACTTTTTCTTTTCCTTCCAACAAATAGTTACTGGGCATTTCTTATGTGCAGACGTTGGGGATATAATAGCCAGGGAAAGACACCCCTACCCTCTTGGAACTTGAGCCTTTATCTCCTTTAGGAGATACATGAATCAAAGATTACAGCTAAATATATTCATTGCTAAGTGCTATGGTTGAAAATAGGTAGTGCTAGGATAGTGTGTAAATACGGAGGTTGGGGAGTGTTGCTCAGAAAGGGATTCTTAAAGTGATTTGAAGGAAGGGATTTAACTAGGCAAGAAAGATGGGGGGGGGGCAGAAGGATAGCAGCTATGAAAGGCCTGTGGTAGGAGGGGCTTGGGGAGAGGGGAACTTTGAGTAGGCTAATGTGACAGTAATGCAGCAAGTGAAGGCAGCAAACGTGGGAGCAGAACGTAGAGACAGACCTATATGTGGATCTTGCAGGTTATGATAAAGGTTTGAAGTTTTATTCTTAGAACAAGAAGTCACTGAAAAGTTTTAAGCCATTGACCCTGGCAAAATGAATTAATATATGTACAAAATATTTGGAGTTATGTTGGTTCATTAGTACAGAAAAATATATTTAACTTTTTTTTTAATGCCAGTCTCATCTCCTTATGTCTGGCATTCAAGGTTCTTAGCCAGAGCTGCAGTCTACATCTGTAGATTCATAACCCATTTCACTACCCCGACCTACTGCCTGTCTCCCCCATCACACATACAGTTTATGCTCTGTATTTGAAAGGCTCACTCATTTCCCAAAGCCCTGCTTAAAAACCACATCCTTCACCAAGACTGCCCAGATGTGTTGAAGGGG